ATCAGCTGTCACTCAATCTCTGGCATGGGGATCCCTTTCCATGCTTACATTACTGAGAGCCCCAGAGTTATTTTTATGAGCCTCATATCATAACACTTGGCATACTAGAGCACAAAACTGGTTTTTGGAAATGTTTGTTTATTTAAAAAATAATAGCTAGGCGTAGTGGCATGCACCTTTAATCCCAGAATTCCAGTGGCAGAGACAGGTGAATCCCTATGAGTCCAGGGCCAACCTGGTCTACATAGTGAGTTCCAGAACTACATAGTGAAAACTTGTCTCAAAAATTAATAATTAATAGCAATAAACCACTTACATTCTAACACATTTATAATTTTTAATAACTACTTTTCCAAAACAAACCCCTGAGTGAGAATGGTGTTGGTCTACAGATTTGAAAATTGATCCAATGCCGGCTATAACTGAAGGTAAAGGCGGCCTCATCTTGCCTCTGTACACTGGGCACCATGGTAGGGTGTTTGGGGAGACACAGAAGACAATCCAGTCATGTGTATATCAGTGTCTACAAAATGGAAGAGTAGGTTTTTGTTTTTATTCTCTCTCTGTATGTCTCTCTGTCTCTGCTCTACCTCTGTGTGTGTGTTTGTGTGTGTGTGTGTGTGTGTGTGTGTGTGTAAGGTCTTTTTATGTAATCTAGGATGATCTCCAGCCACAGAGAACTGGGATTGCTGGTGTATGCCACTACATCCGGTTGGAGAAGTTGACTTGCTTTTGGGGTGATTTATTTATTTATTTATTTATTTATTTATTTATTTAATTTGGTAATTCTGGGCATTAAGTTTGGCCACTCCTTATAGTTTCTTGAGGGTTGGTTGTGATGTGGGCTCTCAAACCTTATTGATGAGCTTTTCATTCTGACATCCAGTCTGTCTTCCCCTTGGAAAGAGTAGTTGTTTTCCTGGAAGAAGGCATAAATGATTCATAAAGACTTTTTCCATCAATCCAACATCCTCAAATTGTACAAATATTAAAAATGCCCCAAGTTTGTAACAGGTGGACATGAAAACCAAAGATGACATGGCAGCCATCAAGTGGCTCAGCTCTGCTAGATCTTTGTCAATTAGCTGTGCTGGCTTTGTGACTTCTGCCATTCCATTCAGATATGACTGTGCACTTCCAACTGTAATTGTTTAAACTTAGCCTTTGGAAAACATGGCTCCCCTGAGTTGTTCAGATCTCCAAATGGTACCATGTCCATTTGACAGAAGGAAACTGAGTCACACTGCCCTACTATTCTTAGAAATGTAAAAGCTAGAAACTGTCACTCTTGTGGGGAGGACAAGAGCTTTCTAAAGTTCTTCTTTGTGTTTGAAACTTTCATTTTTCTTGTGGTCAATAATCAGTCTTTCTCTTGAAGTTGCTAGTTTGTGTTGTTCATTTTGGGGAAAATATCTGGTCCCAGACACTTCTCCCCAGATGATCGATGCTCCAGCTTAGGTGATATGCCTGACAGCAGACACATGTCTCCCGATCCCCCAGCATAGCCTTGCTTCTCTCCTCCCATTCTCCAGCTAGAACCTGAAATGGGAACAGTGCATTCCCCCAAATTTCCAGCTCCCTCCCCAGGCCCAGACCCTCTTCACATTCTGTCTGCACCTCTTTCCTGCTGGGCTGGCCCCAGGATTCTATTTCCCATTGGGAGGGAGATGGAGGAGGGGTGGCCCATAGCTTCCCTGGTAGGTGCAGATAGGCAATAGCAGAAGTGGAGGAGGCTGGCCCTTCCCAGCTGGCTCCAGAGGTCCTGTGGCTCTGTTTAAAGCAAGGCGCCTTGTGGGCATGGCTTTATCCTCACTGTGCTGTGGAGCAATATCAGTATTGCTCCAAGTTTCTGGCCACTCCTTGCCCTTTTTTTCTTGGCTTTCAGAGTGTGACCACAAGTCTTGAGTGTAACAACAACTCTAGCTTGGGTTAACTTGACATAAAACTAGCCAGCACAATTGACCCCTTGTCAACTTGACAAACACGACACTGTTAAGCTATAACCTTTCCTTTCTTGTTCTTCCCCAAGATCAAGCATTAATAATTTCAACATTACAATAAAACATTCCAAATTTTAAAAGTCCCACAGTCTTTAAAAATTCAAACACTTAAAAAAAAATCAGTCTCTTTAACATAGCCAATCCCTTTCAAGATCCAGTCTTTTAAAGGTCTCTCAACCATGGGCTCCTGTAAAATCAAAAATATTTCCTTACTTTTTGAAGAAAGAACCAAGATACAGTCACAATCTGAACAAAGTAAAACCAAGTCCAAAAAGTATAAATAGCTCAATCCCAATTTTGGGATTCATTCATGATCTTCTGGGCTCCTCCACTGGGCCTGGGTCGCTTCTCCAGCTCTGCCTCTACAGCACCCACAGCTTGCCTTCGAGGCTCTGGCTGGCTCCACTGCTGCTGCTCATGGTGTTTGTCCCATGGCATTGGCATTTCCAAAATGCTAGGGACTCTGCCGCCACTGGGCTGCACTGTCACCAATAGCCTCCCCTGGGCTCTTCATGATTCCAAGCCTCAGTTTCTCTGCATGACGCCTTTGACCCTGGGCCTTCAACTGCTACTGAGGCTGCACCTTCACCAGTGACTTCTCATGACCTCTGACAGTGCCAAGCCCCAGCTGCTCTCACGACCCCTTCATGCCTTCAAAACCAGTACTGCCTGGACCACTCTTGCACTGCCAAGTTCATCTGCCAGTGCAAGGTAAAACCTTGGCTGCCTCTGAAAACAGCTTTTGTGTGCTGACTCTCGGGAAACACTTCCCAGAAGATTTCACCTCAACGATGCTAGTCTCTTCTTAAATCACTGCTAATTTACCAGTTCCAGCTAATTGGCATCAAGTATCCCAGCAAAGCAACGGTTCCACTTTAATAGTTTTGGTGTCTTGTTAATCCCAGTTCATTCCTAAGCCTCAGCTAACCAGAACTACATAGTCTTAATTCAAAAAACTAATGCCCCACCCCCAGAGTCTTTAAACTTCCTTCTGAAACTCCACAAGCCAGGCCTCCATCTTTTGCATTTCCCTCACCAGTCTTACCTTCCAAGTGCCTACAGAACAGCTCACTGAGCTCTCAAGACTCAATGTCTTGTCTAGTCCAAAGTTCCAGTGCCCTTCCACAACTCTCCCCAAAACATGATCAGGTCTATCACAGCAATGCATTACCCCACTCCTGGTACCAACTTGTCTTTGTTAGGGTTAGTACTGCTGTGATGAAACATCATGACCAAAGAAACTTGGGGAGGAAAGAGTTTACATTTCCACAGCACTGTTCATGATCGAAGGAAGTCAGGACTGGAACTCAAGCAGGGCAGGATCCTTGATGCAGGAGCTGATGCAGAAACCATGGAGGGGTGCTGCTTACTGGCTTGCTCCCCGTGGCTTTCTCAACCTGCTTCCTTGTAGAACCCAGGACCACCAGCCCAGGGATAGCATCACCCACAATGGGCTGGACCCTCCCCTATCGATCACTAATTAAGAAAATGCCTTACAGCCGGATCTTATGAAGGCATTTTCCTAAGTAAGGTTTCCTCCTTTCAGATAACTCAAGCATGTGTCAAGTTGACATAAAATTAGCCAGCACAAGCAGCCAGTCACTCTTGTTCAGAAATGATGTATTCCAATGTCTGAAGTGGCGGATGGAGCCGAGCCTGTAGACACTGTGTCTCTTGCCATAGGTCCATACCCGAGACACAGTTGAGCGTATAGACTAGGTACAGGAAAAGAGTAACAGCACAGCTAAAAATAGAATAACGATTATAAAAACACATAACAAGACTATAAAATTAAATACAAAAAAAAATCAGCAATCAGTAAGTAGGCTAATGAACTCAACAGAGATCTCTCAGAAGAACTATGAACACACTAGATACTTGCAAAGGGTGATCAGCATCACCTGGTGGGCAGGGAGTAGCGGGGAGAAGACACTTGAGAACAGAGTATGACACATGTGTGAAGATGCCATGATGAAGCCCAGTGCTTTGTAGTCTAATTTAAAATGTTTAAAATCTCTCTCTCTCTCTCTCTCTCTCTCTCTCTCTCTCTCTCTCTCTCTCTCTCTC